CCTGTTCCTATGAAGCAAGTTACATTGGTCGAACAACGATGCGTCGTTGAGAGTGAGGGTACACTGTCCGACTTGGCTGAGGACTGATTTTCGAAAACCAACCAACACATCTATAACCACGCATCGCGCCAAAACCGGCCATGCTACTAAGTCGGCTGAGTCATCCAAAGTAAAAGTAAAGTATCAGCAAAAATCCTCCTAGTAATCAATAATCATTCGCATTCAATGTACACGTTAGTTAGGGGTGGAAAACATCTCAGTTACTGTGCCGCAACAGGTAAAAGAAAAGAAATTCAACAGTTGCATGCCAACTGAGCTATCAACAATGGATGGGCATAGTACCGGAAAGCTACCAGCCGGCTATTAGACAACAACAAAATTATTATGCAATTATATTGTGTTAAGAAATGAGATCGTGGTTGGAGGGGGAGGCTAAGAGGGATGGGGAGGGACAAAGAAACTCACAGCAGGAACGCCATTGAGGTCGGCTCCTAGCCATGTCAACAAGTGCAGCCAGCCAAACGTGTTCATCGTCTGCCGGACCCCAACCAGGGAGTCGTGAGGCTCCAACTGAGTCCAGCCCCGAAGTAAGGGTCTTCATTCCTCTCGACCAAGTCATTGCTTGGCCACCTCTCCTCTTCTTCCATCCACATCCCCGGCGCGCAAACAACGAAGGTCGCGAGAGCCGGTAGGCTGGTATGCATAACAGGTGGCCGAGCCAACAGAGCCTGGTGCGTGAAATGACGGTGCTGAGCGGTTCAGTTCCTTTTGCTGTGCCGTAAAAAGGTGTCGAACACGCTCATTGGTCACGCGGTGTGCCAACCAGATGTGAGCCAAACTGCGAAGGCACCGGTGATTGCGTACCTGGTTCTCCCAGCTGTGTCAAAAGAAAGAACTCACATCGGCTCTGCACACTAAGGTTATATGCACAAGTCTGACGTAATGAACAACTAGCTGTGATTTTAAAAACTCGCCCGCCCACTCGATCGATCGCCTGATCGACCACACTGAGGCAGGCGATTCCCTTCACCCCAGCTTTCGATCATCATCACATCCTTTCTTTTTCCTTTTTTAGTATATTGTTGCAATAAGTTCCGTACGATTTCCTGCTGCGGCTACGCCCGCTGTCTCGGGCTGAGGTTGCAGGTACCCATTCTTGTTGTAGCTGCCAATCCTCTCTTTTCGAAGTCCGTACATTAAGTGCTCTCCTAATTTGCACCCGATTCCGTCTAATGATATTGCTCGCTATCCTGACTTAGTAGCTCCCTTCAGCCCTGCGACCCTCATTCACTCCCCTCCGCCAACGTTCACCCGAATCTAGTACTGGATGCACCCATACTTCTTCCAGAGCTAGGGGTGGGAGGTATCTCGATCCACGATCACAGTACTTCTTATGTGTTAACATTTTCTTCCGTAGTCGGTTGTCCACAGAACCGCCCGGTGCTATCTAGGGCTGTGATAAAGTTGTAGCGGCCGATAGAAGCGTTCTTGTTCTGCGACTGAATAGTCGCTGAACCGGACTTACTCCGATCTCGGTAGACGGCGTGTTTCTTCGCCCCAACAGCATTATGTAGGGATCCTCGCGGGTCTTCTTGGTTTTGGCAAGCACTTTCTTAGACTCCTTCACTGCTGACTCAGCCTACCCATTTGATTGGCTGTGGTACGAGCTGATGAATCGATGTTGAAAATCTTACTTCTTGCTAAAAGCGCGGAATTCTGCACTACTGAACTGCGACCCGCTGTCGAAAATCACCTCCTCGGGTATTCCATGCCGAGCGAATTGACACCGTAGCTTGTTCACTATGTCTTGCACGCAGGTTGACGTAAGGGCATCAAGCTAGAAGTAGTCACTGAAATAGTCGACCACAATCAAGTAGCTCTTCCAGTGGTGAACGAAAGCGTGCAGTGCGGCCATCTGTCAGGGCCTATCCGGAACGTCACCAAGCATTATCGGCTCCTTCCGCTGGCGCACCTCGTGTGTCCTGCATGTTAAACAGTTAGATACGTACTCACGTATGTGACTAGTCATTTCTGGCCAGAACATCAGCTCACCTTCTCCTGCCACACAACTGTTGAAGAGGAAAGGTGACAGCGGGCATCCTTGTCTCACACCACCAGAGATACTGGTGGACGGCGACAGTTTGCCGTAAGCCCTCATACTCCTCGCGCTACGCGCGTATAGTGCGCGGATAATATTTACATATTTCTTTGGCACACGTTTCCTGAGTAGACAGTCTCCAAAGGTATATCGATCAACCGAATCGAAGGAACATTTGATGTCGAAGAATACGGCAAACGGGGGCCACCAATATGTATGACGATGCTCCAACAGCTGACGTAAAGTGAGGATGTGGTCGATACAGTCACGACCCCGACGAAACCCGGCTTGCTCTTCACGAAGCTGGTTTTCACGAGCGCTAATCAGTCTGTGAGGAATTACAGAGGCAAGCAATTTGGTAGCAACAGTGATCAGACTGATTAATCTATGGTTGCCGAATTCCGAATGCGAGCATTCTCTGAAGACAGGAACAATAACTGAGCGGCTCCAGTCATTTGGGACGAATTCCTGCTCCCACAGTTTCACTAGTAATTCATCTAAATCATCAACAAGAGCAAAGCCCCCGAAATTGAAGAGGGCTAGATAAAGATCATCTGATCCCGCGGCTTTGTTCAACTTCAACAGTCTGATCTCACGTTCGACTTCTGAAAAAAAGCGGATCCAAATGGAAAGTCCAGAAAGCAGAGCGATCACTGGACGGTGAGGAATCAACAATTCCGACTGATTAAATTGTTTTCATACCGCACAGCTCAACGCTCTAAACGTTTTGACAAGTTGTGGATAGGCTGTCCACTCTCGTCATAAATTGTTTCACTAACACCAGGTCTCCTGCTGCTCGTTTCCCATATCAGACGGAATAAGGTCCGATGGTTGCCAAATACAGCGGCCACTTCCATCTCTGATGCAAGATGAGACCGTCAGGATTCGTGGTCTCTCTTAAGGCTAGCACGCAGTTTTTCCTGGAGGTTTATGCGAGTCTCACTGTGTTCGCTTTCATCCGGAATGTGTAGGGGAGCATCGATAAGCTCCAGAGACCGCGAAAAGACCAAATGTCCATGTTGGCTATAAGACAGCACATGAGGATTTGCTCGCTGCTAGTGAGGTCTGGTGAACATGTGACCAGTGACTTTCGATTTTCTCCTGTGAGCGCTTACTCAACGCAGATGTCAGCGTACTTTGACACACATTCAGAACAGCTGGTTTCGTCAGTTGACAGGTGTCAATACACTCACAGCCGCGTCGTGGGCGTTCGTCAAAACACATCCGCATGTCAGCACATACAGGTGCATGGTCGGTGTCCACACATGTGCTCCAAATCGAGCGACAGTTCTGGATGCAGCCTCTCCAGCGTTAACTGACTGCAATGTGATCAATTTGCGTCCATAGCTGATTCGAGGCTAGTGGCCGCTAAGTCACCCTCCGGCGAGTGCTGTGTCGGAAGTTAGTGTTCACAAGGAATAAGCGGGCATCTTCACACAAATGAAGTAACCGCACAACGTTATCATTACAGGAGCCTACACCAAGATCAGCGCCCAGACACAGCTCACCAGTAGATAATTTTTTTAATTAAGCGTTCAAAGCCCCCGCAAGCACAACTGTGGCGAAGGAGCTCAGTCAGTTGGCAGTCGTTTTTACCGAATCATCGTTAGAGTTTGTGGGCGTGTAGACAGCGATAAGGAATAGACACCTATTAGTCCCATGCGACTTCGAAGCTTTAAACGAGCCGGTCAATTGGATCGCACACATTCGGCTAATGATTGGGATCCAGTCAACCAGAGCAGCTTCTACCCGGGGACTCAGGGCAATACCAACACCGGCTTGGCCGGTGCTCGAAGCTGCATCGTCACCGGATAGGCGCAATGAGAAAGTGCTGCTAGTGTCACCTGAAGGGGATCGCAGAGTGAGTACAGAGCTCAAATCTTGCAGGCGGGTCTCCGATAAGCAGCAGATATCGATCGAGAGGGTCTCTAATGTTCGGGCAAGTGCCGCCTGTTGACCGATCTGAAGCAATGTGCGAACATTGAGGCATTCCAATCTGAAGGACGGTCGAGGGCTCCAAATGGAAGCCGATGAACTAGAATGGGCCGCTTGCTTGGACATGGGCTCGTTGACAGGGCAGGAATGACGCTCTGCGTTCACCTGTGAGTTGAAACTAAAAGACAAGCGACTATTGAAGCAAGGTGGGGGAGGGCCGAAAATTGGGGGGTTGAAAACAGGGGGGATAAAAGTGAAGCTGGAACGGGACGATAAGGGTGAAATAGCGCAAAAGGGGGAATAAGAAGACGGAAAGGCTTGAGCAGTAGCATCCAAACCCCTATCCACCCTGCTCGATGCAGCAGATAGGGCACCGTTGATTATCCTCTGCGGTGGCCAGAGCATCAGCAATTTGTTTGAGGTAAGATTCATGGTATTGCGTGGGCAGGATACTGTCAGGTTGCCCAGGCCTAGACAGGAGAACGATTGGGGTTCTCAATCAAAGCCTTTGGATCAAAAACCTGACCGCAAGTCAGCGGGTTTGGTGTTGGGCTACAAGGAGTCCGTTTTAAGGAATAAGGAGCCACCCTCATTCCAACGCCCCAACCTGGAAGACCAGGAGGCTGAGTTTGTCTGGCCTCTAACCATTGACCGATCTGGTATGAGTGACTCTGAAGGTGCAAAAAAGGCACCACCCAGTATAGCTCAATGGATTACTGAGGCACACAAACCATCGCACCACGGTAAGGTCCAGCCTCATTGCGATGGGTCCAGCCCTATTGAGACTTTAAAACTGCCCTGGCCCTGTAACATCCAGATACCGGAGTTGTTTGCGCATCGCACACCGTACCTAACGGATAGTGACTGCGCTACATCAGTGAGTGTGAATAGGATGCATTTTACATTACGTCAGGTCCAACATTTTGTTTTTTCCACATATAATTGCACAAGTCTGAAGAGGAATTATTGAAAACATGTCTGCTTGTATCCAGTGGGATTTTTACAACTGTGATTTCCGCAAGTTTATTCCTATTTAAATTTGGCTCAGAAGTAGGTCGATAAGATGCCAGAGTTAACGGTAGACCAAGGCGCATCAGGTAGCTGAACCAAACGTGAGGAGGATGTGAAGCAAGTAGACTGATGCAGCAAGCGCCATGGTGTGTGAATTTGCGAAAGTGCAAAGGGATGAAGTCGATGCCGATGGAGTTGGGCCATCATGCCATGAGCATGTTTTATTGCACAGTAACAGCAGTGAGAAACATAAAGGAGCAATACATGAAGCATAGTCACAAAGGTAAACAGATCACAAAAGGAGAAGGCATATGAAGGATAATCAGCAGATTTGGTATGACAAGCACAGCTTTGGGAGTCGAAGAAAAGGAGCAGGAAAATGTAACGATCGGATGCAATAAAGGTAGAGCAACCTGTCGTTTGTCAGAGTTCCGTTTTAATGGCAAAGCCATCCTTAGGTTTCATAAATTGTGTCAGTATGTTAAGTCGCTTTTTGAGGCTATCCTTTTGCCAATCGGCAACTTCACTATCCACTAACTTTCTTAAACGAACAGATTCCGTAGTCAAAAAAGATGGTCCAAGAGTGAGGAGTTTCTCCATTACAATACGATAAAACTTGGCGAGATCTGAGTTAATGTGCTGTTCCGAGGCACTGATATGATCGATTTCGGGTAGTAACTCCCTCCTGATTTGCTCCGGGTTGGCACTCCTTGCTTTGTGGGCAACCGCATCCAGAGAAGCGATACAACCAGGCAGAGGTAAGTGTAATCCAGTAACTTCGGTAACCCATTGAAGAATGTCCTCCGACTTCCAACTGCTACGATAAGTAACAGGAGAAGAATTACCCCGATGAAAAAGCATGTAGTAGGGCAATTCAATGTACGACAAATTAAATTTCTTGAATATATTTTCAGAGGGTAGGATATCTTGAGCTGTTCAGTTATCAGTGGAAACTTTAGTAGTCCATGGACCTACTATGCAGCATGTGATACACATTGATTTCTTTGGTATTTTTTAGATATTTAGCAAAAATCTGGTACTCCGAGAAATGGTCCCCAGGATATAGAGTGTCAAATACTCCAACGAAGCCAACAGGTGTAACATTCAGATGCTAAAAATAAAGACTATCAAGCAACTTTGGAGTAGACAAACAAACCTTAAGCAACGTAGAGAGGTTCACGTGTGTAGAGAAGTATAAAACCTGCACGGATTCGATGACGAGGAGTGGCGAAGTCATTGTCAGAAGTACAGGAACGCAGAATGCAAAACTTGAAATTGATGACATTAACCGGTACTGAAGGGCTGCTCCTGGTGGAAAAACAAGAAAAGATCCAATATATGAGAGTAGTTGGGTGAATAAAACGAATAACATAAATGGGAAATGATGGATGCTTAAACGAAAATGAACAGACAGAAGCAAATGTGCCGGCAGCGGATCATGCATGGAGCAGCCGAATCACGTGGAACCAGACTATGCGGACGGCACCGTTGCTGTGCTCACGACAGCAAGTATGAATAAGCAGTCTGGGACTCTCAAAACCATTCATGTGTGCGTCCGATAACCAAGGTGAGAAAACCCATACTGGATCGCCGGTCATTTACAAACTAACATCCAGCGATGAGGGACGACCCCAACAAGCTGCGACGGATTCTTTGCCTCAATGTTACTATGCACCGTCGGAACGATTCATATCGTCATCAATATAAAAATTAGCTAGAGGTGTAAAACAGGTTGGCCATAGTGCCGCAATCTATACGTTCATCCATATATATATATATATATATATATATATATATATATATATATATATATATATATATATATATATATATATATATATATATCTGGCAGGAGAGCCTATGGTGAGCTGAGGCTGGTGGTGGCTAGGTCCTGACAGATGATCTACCCACTGCTGCTACTGTTGTGCCATTGGCTCATGTCCTGGACGCCTCCTCGTGGCGACCGCTGGGTGGGAGTTAGGTTTCGCCCTTCTCCCTGCTAAGATCCAGGACACCAATTCGCATGAGTCAGTGAACTGACCATGTGCTAGACCCGCTACCTTTCGGGTGTTCATTTAATCGAAGGCTTTGGCTGAGGACCCGAGTCGTTCTCCTGTCAGGTGTGGGCGCTCTGACAGTATCCTCTTCATGGTTTATGAAGTGGTCGATGGCCCACTTCCCGTAAAACCTAGCCACGAGAGACAACAGGTCTACGGGTTAGAAGCTCACAGCTCGATTGGCGTAGAGCGCGAGCGCCACGCATTGTCTCTGACGGTGGGAGGGCACCTCCGGGTGTTCAATGATTGGCTACTGCCCGCCTCAAGCCAAGCAGCCCCTGGTCAAATTGGTGCAAACCAGCCCACTCCCACCTGCGTCTGGCCGTGGTCGCAGGTGCTTATCCTACTACGGTCGCAAAACATACATGAATCGTTCCAGCATCTCTAAGGCTGCGTGTAATGGTCGCCAAGTAGATCTCAATCTGTCACTGCAATCACATTCCTGAGCTGGATTTGCTCCCCACTGCCTTGTGGGTCAGGCTATTGAGTCAAAGGCTCCGGGTGGAGTCCCTCAAGCAAACCTCCGAAGCACAACGACCATCTCGCGTGCGATTGCCCACCAATGCAATCGTATGCTTGCGCGCAAAGCACTCAGCATCCGGTGTTGGAACATGCGCACACCACTAGACCGAAACTCCAGCGAGCGCCCGGAGCGACGCACTGCACTCGTCGCGATGGAACTGCAACGCTACCACATCGACACTGCAGCGCCCAGTGAAACCCGGCTCGCTGAACAAAGTAAGTTGCATGAAGCAAGTGCTGGCTACACATTCTACTGGGTGGGCAACGCCGCCTCAGCACCACGTGATCATGGGATCGGATTCGCAATATCCGATCACCTCCATGGCCAACTGGTGGGTGAACCAAAAGGCATCAGCGCGCGACTGATGACTGTTCGCCTACGACTCGGAAGAGGTAAGTCTGCTACTTTTATAAGCACGTACGGTCCGACCATGTGTTATCTTAATGGCACGCATGATCAATTCCACACTCAGCTATCCTCCGTGATATGGTCTATGCCGAGGAGTGACCAACTACTTCTGCTGGGTGATTTCAACGCGCGCGTTGGGCGTGATGCATCAGTGTGGACAGATGTTAACGATTCGCATGGTATTGGTTCAGCGAATGCAAACGGTGACAGGCTACTCTCACTGTGTGCCACTCGGCCTGACGATCAGGGACACTCGGTTTGCGCTGAGTGCGAGAGATATAGGAACTTGGACGCAAACACGGAGTGGTCACGTTCACCTGCTCGACTATGTCACCTTACGTCAGCGTGATATGCGTGAAGTGCACATGACATGTGTACTGCGTGGAGCTGAGTGTGTGAGCTGCAGCACATGAATAGTGCTCTGGCTTCGAAAGCGACCAAACTCGGGCTTACCATTAACACAAGCAAAACTGTCACTCTTTCAGCCTTCACCGAGGTGCAATATGCAATGATGTAGCGAATCAGAAGTGGTGTCGAAGTATTAGAAACTACCTCCCGCTTCTGCTACGTTGGGAGTGTGATGTCGACTGACCAGCATACACAGAGCTGCGTATCCGCTTACCGAAGGCAGCGGCGGCATTCGGGAAGCTAGAGTACCGAGTGTGGAACAACCCTCAGGTTATCGTTAGCACGAAGCTGATGCTGTACAAATCCATGGTGCTGTCCGTTCTTCTATACGGCAGTGAAACGTGGACGATGTACCGGCGGGATGTGCGATATCTAGAGCGGTTCCAGCAACAGCGTTTGCGACGGATTCTGCGCATGAGTTGGTGTGACAGAGTTGCGGATACAAAAGTGTTGCGTCAAAGTAGAATGTATGCAGTGGATTGTATACTTTTGCTGAGACACCTGAGGTGACTCGGTCATGTGAGCCGTATGGATTCGACTCGGATACCGAAACAACTATTATATGGTCAGCTGAGTAATAGGAACTGGCATGTGGGGAAACCAAAACTTCGTTACCAGGACATGATCAAAGTGAGCCTCTCACGTTCTAATCTTGATTTCAGATCATGGGAATCGAAGGCGGTTGATCGGCGTGCATGGCGCGATCTGATCACGAAGGCAGTTGCCGAAGTGCGGGAGAAATACCTCGCATGCAGAGAAGAAGCGGAAGGTGCAGGAGCGACATGCGCCGATGGGTTGTAATCCATCGACATCAAGCGCATGGTACTGTAGCAGATGCGGTCGCGAGTGTCTGAGTCAGGCAGGCTTAGTGAGCCATGAGCGAGGTCACTCTGAGCCACCACTGAAGCGATGACACGTCCTGCAGTGAACGTAGGTAGAACCGGTGAAGCGTTTGTAGGTACCCTGCATTCGATGTACTAACCGCTTGCTTGCATGCTGGCTCTCTATTTCAGGTGGTGGATTTGCTATATTGTCCCAATGATTTTTTATCTCATATTAATGTCTACCTGAACTATCTTCTATAAACTTGCACACGTTGCTTAAGCTATTTGTAGTTAATTTCGATAACATTTTCGTGTTTGTGGCATTTTCTTAGATATATTCTCTGACGTCCTGAACTTGTCGTAAGCAAAATGAAAATTATAGTGTTGCTCGTCCCAACACCGGCACCCCAAGACCGCGGTTTCGTCCTGTTGGGACTCATCAGTTGGAGATAGCCTGAGTTGGGCTGGAACTCAGAGCCTAGTGGCTCATGGTTGACGTCATAAGCACTATGCCACTGAGATCCACGAGCAACGCTTGGTCCAGCAGAAAAGATTGCAAAGTTGAATTTGGAGAATCCGCTGGTGGCTGGGTTGCTACAAGCAACCTCAATTGAGACCTCGGTTCACTTGATGTGGACCTCGGCCATTCCGATCAAAAAGACCGTAAGTAAAATGAAAATTATAGTGTTGCTCGTCCCAACACCGGCACCCCAAGACCGCGGTTTCGTCCTGTTGGGACTCATCAGTTGGAGATAGCCTGAGTTGGGCTGGAACTCAGAGCCTAGTGGCTCATGGTTGACGCCATAAGCACTATGCCACTGAGATCCACGAGCAACGCTTGGTCCAGCAGAAAAGATTGCAAAGTTGAATTTGGAGAATCCGCTGGTGGCTGGGTTGCTACAAGCAACACTATAATTTTCATTTTACTTACGGTCTTTTTGATCGGAATGGCCGAGGTCCACATCAAGTGAACCGAGGTCTCAATTGAGGTTGCTTGTAGCAACCCAGCCACCAGCGGATTTTCCAAATTCAACTTTGTCGTAAGCAATTTATTTTATACGCTGATTTAGTGAAGAGTTATGTCACCGTATCTGCATGCATTATTGGATTTATTTTATTTCATCTTGTCGTTTTAAGTGACTGGCTGTTGCTTGATATCCCCCCTATGGCTGCGCTTGATGTGCACGTTGACAAGGTGTCTACCTGTCTATTACCCACTACCTCGTCCATACTGCCTTTAGGAGACAATTGGTCGTTGCTGGAGGGGACGGGGTGCAGGATCCTTGGGGCCGTGCTAGACACAAAGAGTGGTGCCATGCACTCTGTGTGGAGCGCTCTGTAATCATTGGTGTGGATCATTCCGAGGCCTCCATCCAAGAAGACGGCAAGCATCCGCTTAAGAGTCAATTTCTTCGTGCCACTATGCCCAGTCATGAAGTGGCCACCTCCCGGTTTTAACCTACTTAGTGCACCTACGGCATATGATGCGCGCCGAAGAAGTCGGTCAACGAGCATACGGAGGACATAGCCTAGCCAACATAGGCGATTAAGATTCAGCAAACACTCGAGAGAAGCGCCAGAAGGCTTCTTGCCAAAAACCAACTGGCAAGCCTCATTAGTAGTCACTGGGTGTTCCCACAAGACGTGAGTAATACTCCGTAAATACCGTTGGTCAAACACGGCCAAGCGTTTAATGTCTTCACCGCGAACTGGTCAAGTGTCTGATCCACTCAGTAAGTCCGGCCTTACCGCAGTGTTGTACACCCTACCTTTCACTGACACGCTGGTATCTCGCCGTCTCCATAGATAGTTGTCTACGGGAAGCCACAATGGCCTTGCTCATTCGGGAATTAACTTTCTCAGAGATGTGACCACCAAAGATGACAAAGCTATCAAGGTAAGTGAATCAATCCACCACTTCCAGTGGTTGTTCGATGATAGCTAGATCAGGTGTGTGGGTCAAGTCCTGCAGCAGCGCTTTACATTTTGAATACGCAAACTACAAGCCGAAGCATGCAGCGCTACGCACAATTCTGCTCAGTAGTGTTTACAAAGCCGCTGCATCGGACCCAAGAAGAGTTATGTCGTC